CCGCAGCAAGTATGCGGTGGGAGCCGATGGTGCGCGCTCCACCGTCCGCAATGCGCTCGACATCAGCTTCACCGGGACCAAGCCAGAGATGATCTGGGCCGTTTTGGACACATTCATCGACACTGACTTCCCTGTTTGCTCCGAGATCATCACCTTCCAGCTCAACGGCCAGAGCAGAGTCTCATGGATTCCCAGAGAGCGCAACATGGCGCGCTTCTACATCCTGCTGGACGGTGAGATTACGCAAGAGAAGGCGGAGAACTCCATCAGGGAGCACATGGCACCTCACCGGGTGGACTTCAAGAAAACGGAGTGGTTCAGCACGTTTGATGGTAAGCGCGCTCCTCGTGGCCCCCAAAGCAACGCAAGAGACTTTCGGTTTCGGACTCGCTGACACGTCGATATAGTCAAGGAGCGTATCGCAGGAACCTTTGTCTCCAAGAGCGGCGACGGGCGCATCATTCTGGCAGGTGACGCTGCCCATGTTCACTCGGTGAACGGCGGCCAGGGCCTCAACACCGGTGTGGCTGACTCGTTCGCTCTGGCGTGGAGACTCGCCGAGGTTCTCACAAACGACAAACTCAGCCAAGCTTCCGTCGATAAGTTGATCAAGAGTTACGACATCGAGCGACGCACCGTGGCCCAGGGCGTCATCGACGTCGCAGCGGCCCTGGTCAGAGACACCGTCCACACTGCAAAGCAGTACGTCTCCACAATCGAAAAGAACGCCGGGTACATCACAGGTAAGCTTTTTCCCTTTGGTTAAGCAAGTATCCGTAGCGTGACGTCCGCGGCCCCCAGGGCTGGCGCTCATCCTGCTTCCCCAAACTCTGTTCTGCGTTGGCCCCCAGAAAAGGGGAGATCGGTCACAGAGAAAACGGGGAAACCGCGCTTCCAGAATGCTGTGTGCCCTGGGTCACCAAGCACAAGCGCGTGTGCGGATGTTCCGCGCCCTGCTGGGGCTCCACGTTTCCGAAACCGAGCGAAAAGAGTTTTCGGCTAATTTTTCTCTTTAGGCATGGGCGTATCTTACGACGGCACCGGTTCGCCCCTGGTCGAGGGCACCACGGCGGGCTTCTGGACCGCTGGACGGCGCTGCCCGGACGTCTACCTGACACCTTCGTCCGAACAAGAGCCGAAGCGTCTGTATGAGCTTGTCGCTGGCAAGTATGGCAAGCACCTGGTGTTGAAGATCGGACGACAGGAGGCCAGCGGAGCCGCCCCAGCAGATGGTCTCAAGGATGTGGCCAGATTCTTCAGGGTCATCCCCCACAAGGCGGAGCCTCGTACGACGACGGACCCCGAAGACTCTTCATCAGTTTTTTCGGCTGAGTGGGTGGGCGAAGATGACGAGTTCGTCGTTGTCGTCAGGCCAGACATGTACATTGGCTATGTCGGCCAGGGCGAAGGCTGGAAGGAGTATCTTGCCTACCTGACCCAGTAAAAAGGGGGCATTGTTTGTTTGTGTCAACATGTTTGTTTTTAGAAAGGCCAGGGAAAGGGAGCGTTGAACCACAAAAGCATAACAATCATTGGATTGTATTATTAGACGGTAGAGAGATATCTTGTATGATCAGCATTTCAGCCAATTGGAGCCTTCGCGGTGATCTAAGCTCTTCCGGGTCCTATATTGTCAATCCTCACCGGTGTAAGAGTCAGGCGTTTGCATACAGAACCCGTTGTAGGGCGCGGCTGCAATTTCAATCACCTGCCCGACTGGATCGCCGTTTGATTGTCAGGGGAGCCAAGACCGAAGTCCGAGCTTGATACGCGTAGTATTTACGATAACGGCGATAAGAGCCGATTCTTTAACACAGAATCTGCAACCTAATCTACAAGCTACTGCGGGCTGGCTGTATTCGTGGCCAACCGCAGCCAACATGTGCCTTTGGCTTGCCTGGAAGGCACAGAGTTTCTGCCATCCAGCATTTCGCCCGGTACCTGAGACCTCCACGTTCCGTTCCGTCACTGCGGAATTAAAGTGCAACAAACCATAGGATGGCAAGGGAAGTGGGATGACTCCGGGTGGGATGAGCTGGGATTCATACGTCATCACACACGCTTTACATCTCATATGCAGTGGCTAAACAAGTGTCGGGCGCTTCCGTAATGATTTGCATGTTTAGGAGGAATAGACTTGAAAATCCCCGTAGGCTGTCGCGCCATTCCTTGGAAGAAATTTTCAACAGAGCCCCCAGCGTTGGGTCCCTGATGAGACAACGAAGACACGGCGGACAATGCCTCTTTTTACCCTATACGGGAAGAAGAGCATTGATGATGACATACAGGCTCGGAATCACGTTGGATGTCGGAACGATGTTCGGAACGAACAAAACATAGAAATAAAAACCTACACCCCCGCCACCAGGCTACGGAGCATGCCCGAAAGCAGGCCGAGCAGACCATTTCTTCATTCACCGCCCAATGTAACCTAACCACAATCGCTCAAAAGTTATCAAAGAGCCACTCCACTTGTCCGAGGTATCGACGAGCGCTCAAATGCCTCAACGCCGGTGGCACTCCTGAATACCGAGACTAATCGAAGGAATTTGCAATGGGACCTGCCCTCTGAGGCTTCATCAACCCAGTGATTGCCAGCCCGAATCTCTTCGTAATGTGAAATGAATGACCTGTATTGAGAGCTGAAAGGCCACTGCGACCTTCTACATCTGCGCACCATCCAATCTGCACGGGCGATCCTTTAGCCTGTCCTGGCCTATCCGAAACCTTTTTCTTTGAGTTTAGCCTCTGTATTTTGCAGTTTCCCAAAGGGTATCGCACCCGACCGGATTGAGACGTCATCCAATCAATCACGACAACATCCCTGGCCCTCGCATTACTCGGATCGACGTGTAAAGGCATATCCGTAGTCACAGCGGAACAGGCGCGCGTGGGATAGAGGTTGGAGAGGCACGGCACAGCCTTGAGGAGGGAACCAGAGGGGGCGATCCGACGGAAACGCAATCTATCGACACCAGCACGTCGATGCGACGGTATCCCGACCGGAGCATGACATTTACCTCGGACAAGGAAAAGCCCACAGGGCCCGACGACACCGACCAGGACAGCCCGAACTTCCTCTCCGAGATCGACGAGGAAAATGCTATCGACGAGCTATCAGCGCCACAAATAACTCCTGCCAAGCCCAAGATAGCGGACCCTCCGAACGGTGGCTTGAAAGCGTGGCTGCAGGTTCTTGGGTCGTTTTTCATTTATTTCAACACATGGGGTAAGCTGCAACCTCGGACTCAGCGATCCCCTTCGATGCAACGCAAGGCCGTTGCAACGTCACCCCCCGTATCCGCAACTGCTCAACGTGCAAGAGCAGTTGCATAGTGGTGTCAATGTTTAGCTTGATTGCAAGTGCCGAAGAGAGCCGAGGCTGACTGAACGCGCGATGACAGGCCTCGTTGCAAGCTTCGGAACCTTCCAGGCTTACTACGAGGATGACCTCCTGCGGGACAACAGTCCATTTGCTATTTCCACAATCGGCTCTTTGCAGAGCTTTCTAATGGTGTTTTTGGGGTTCATCGCCGGCCCTGTTTTCGACCTGGGCTATGCGCGCCAGCTCCTGTGGGTGGGATCCCTGCTCATTGTCGTTGGCTCCATCTGCCAGAGTCTCAGCAGCAACCTCTGGCACCTCCTCCTCTCTCAGGGACTCTGTGTTGGTGTCGGCATGGGCAGCCTCGCAGTTCTGGGAGTTGCTGTTCTTTCCCCATGGTTTTCGACAAAATTGCCTGTCGCAACAGGCATCGCGGCTGCGGGGAGCGGCGTGGGCGGGTATGTCTTCCGGAACATCGTCAATAAACACAAACGAAAGTATCCCACCGGATAGGGCTAACTTTGACTTCCTCGCATCACAGCCTGGTCCTCCCCATCATGTTTCGATCGCTTGAACCCGCGATCGGGTTCCGCTGGACTGTGCGCACCATGGCGTTGATCGCGTTAACGACGCTGGCGATTTCGATCGTGAGCATGCACACGCCCAAAGCCTCGGCGCAACGGCGCGCCTGGATCGACACGTCCGCCTTCAGAGACGTCCCTTACCTGCTCTTTGTGTGCGCCTGCTGTCTGGTCTTTTTCGGCATGTACACGCCGTTCGTCTATGTCCAGAAGTACGCTCTGGCAACCGAGACCGCGTCGCCGCGCGTCGCCACGTATCTGCTCTCCATCCTGAACGGTGCGTCCATCCTCGGCAGGACCATTCCCAACTTGTTCGCGTCACGGATCGGGACGATGAACATGTTGGTGGTGGCTGTGCTAATTCTGTCCATCTCGGCGTTCTGCCTCATGGCTGTCAGCAATGCAACCGGCCTGATCGTGGTTGTCGTGTTCTACGGGTTCAGCAGTGGCAGCTTCTTCTCGCTGCAACCTGCGACCTTCACACAGATCACCTCAGACCGAAACTTCATTGGTACTAGACTGGGCATGGCGTATTCCGTCATGTCGGTCGCTCTCCTCCTCGGTTCTCCGGTGGGAGGGGCATTGGTGCGCACATTTGGATACTCCAGCGCCTGGATATGGGCTGGAGTATGCCTCGCGCTAGGAAGCGTAATGATCGCATGTTCGAGGGGCATGGCGAAGGGTTGGAGGTTGAATCATAGACTTTGATACCCTAGACTTAGACTTTAGACTGCCTTATGGCACACGACCCTGACATGACCTATAGACTAGACTAGATAGACTACTCACCACTTAATGCTTGACGAAGCAACGTTCTTAATTGAATAATGATTGCGGCGAAACAAATTCTTACGTCGCTTGTATGTGTCAGGGCTCAAAATGTTTGCTCTTGCTTTGCCACTGGTAAAAGGCTTCTTTACACAGGCTATCTATGTTTCACTACGTGCTACCAGACCAATCAGTACGACTACATACCCTGTCTAAAGCCTCGCTAGAGCTGTATGCTACTGTTGCCTCCACCTTCGACGGGTCAACAAGATGCAAAAAGTGAGCCTCAGGTCCACATGAGCCGATGTGGGGGAGGGCAAAAGGAATTGGGCCCTAACCAGGGATCGAACCTGGGACCTCTCCCAGAATGAATTGTTGAGAACAACCCTAAGGGAGAATCATACCGCTAGACCATCAGGGCAGAGAATCTCAAGCTTGTTGACATGCTGTGGTCGGAGTTGAGTTGCTGAGGCTGATAAAACTGTGGCAACCTTCCTTCTTCCGTTTCTGCTTGACAGCGACCTCAGGGAACGCTAATTTTAGTAGAAATGCCCAAGTAGTATTCTAGAAGTAAGAGCTAGATGTCTTCTAAGAGTTCTGCTTGGCTTCATGCGAAGACGTGTGGTGACTCTAGGGGCTGTAATGAGCCTCAGAGATCCCCAGCTTTGTTACCCTGGGTAGTAGATAAGATTTATACGACGCTAAGTATGATTCATGAAAAAGAAAAAGAAAGAATCAATTTGCAGATTAGACTGAGTGAGTGAATGATTGACTAGCAGTAGCGATAGTGTTCCCAGCTCCACCAAGTCAGGAGCTCATTTCCAGACCTTCGTAGTCCCATGGCAAAAGTCCTAGTTACCGGACGACGGCAAAAGAGTTGTGAAAAGAGAAGAAGTTTGAGCAGTGTCAAGTTCCAAAACATCCTGAACTTCATCATCAATGGACTCCAGAAACATCTCCTGAGTCCACTTGGGTTGCCATCCAAGCTTGTACCCGTTGACAGCCACAAGTTCTCCGCTATTCCAAAGGTCAGCAAATGCTTCCAATGCAGCGGAAACGGCACAGCATATGTGCAGTCAAGATGTTGCTTACTTCGAGGTCCCCATAGCCCGGATATACAGTCGCGGAAATCCAAGAGTGTCAGCCGCCACGTCGTAGCTGGGCCAGACTTTGGTCGTGGGTTCATCGACAAGCCCGCGTGCATGCATGGCCACGGCAATTCGATCCATGACATCCCACCAGGGAACTCGGTGCACTGTGGCAAAGTAGTAGCCCTCACGACCGCTCGGAATGGGCTTTCCAAGGAGGATGTTCTCCGTTAGGAGCCTGTAAAGCTCTACCAAATCCTGGATATGTACCGCAAGTTGGCGCTGGGTAATTGCAACTGGTGAGCAGGTTGACAAAAAGGAGTCGCGGTGAATTTGTAGAGACTTACTGCATCTTTGTCGAATTTGTGGACAACCCTAAGCCGCTTGCTAACTCTGACCATGGCCGGAATATTGACGGACAGCTTTCTGCCTTGGCCAGTGCCTCGCCCATCTTGGTATCATCAGTATGATGCTTGAGCTTCTTTCGACCGTATTCAACTCACAAACGAGGGGCACCGGAATGATGAAGGGAGTCACGCCGAATGCTTCAGCTTGATCCATGACCAGGATATTGGACTACATGGAAAAGAAGTATTAGCGCAAGTAGAGGGTCTGAATGTTAAATGCATCTTACCAGTCGCGCATGGTTTGGGCCCCCGATCTCCTTCTCCTTTTCGTAAAGACCATCGGTATCCTTGACCTCGCCAGAAGACCAGCCACCATCTTCGGTGAAAAGGGTCGCTACCGAAGTCTGCAAAAATATTGAGTAATTTGCTGAGGAGTTTGGAAGTATCGTAACCTACGTGAATGAAGTAGACATCTTTGTCGGTCGCCACACGAAGCTCGCCAAGCCCCTTCATGAGGTTTGACAGGGGTTGATGGTCGATGACACCAGCGGTATGAATCACGAGATCAACTAGGAAATCATTAGTTGTAATATTGCGGTCTTCTAGTGAATGCAACATACTTTTGTTCTCGACAATTGCTTCTGCAACAGCTTGCTGATTGGCCAGATCAAATTGGACCACGTTGACGCCGAGTTTTGCCGCATGCAGTTTCTGGGCCTGCTCCTCCGTTCGGACAACGGCAAAGATGTTTGCCTTGTTGATAGGGCCGCTCGTGCGCTCTAGGAAATCTGCGAGGACGGATCCGCCGCTGGTATCGCAACCGTCAGTCAGTGATTACTGCGTACACTGACAGGATTTATTGTCCATACATGTAACCGGCAGCGCCAGTGATAAGAATGTTGTGGCTCATTGTGTTTGCCGGAGATTTCTTAACTTGTGTAATACTTTGCATTAAGATGACCGGAAGAAAGCTTCTCTACGCTTCGGGTGGCTCATACTTATAACATTCAGGGTCATGGCATGATACACACTCACATACTTCGTGACGATTCTGTTGATGTAACATAGGCAGTGACGAGAACAGTAATCAAATGCCAGACGTTGATGACTTACACGCGAACCAATCAACAATCGATTTACAGTCTATTGGCTCCGACCGGGGATGCGCGCGTTTCCGTTGATTGCGTGGGCGTGCTGACGGCGCGACTGCGGACTGGAACTTTGGTAATTGTCCGAGATGCGTCAGCAACCTCGGAATACCCAGGCTTCACCATTAGTCATCTCATAACCAACATGACTTCTGCGAGTGCCGTTCACAACGGCCAAAACGTTTGGTCAATTTACGGCGTCAATCATCATGGAAAACCGCGGGATTGAGTCTGACAAGAGAACGAGATCTCGCCCGGCCATCGCCCGACGATCGGTAAGCTAAGGACAACGTCGTGAAGGAGTCAAAGCTGACGGAGGATTTAGTGTGACCAGTGCCGTTCAAGAAAGGTATGTCTTCTCGATTGACTTGATGAAAAGGCTGTGAAAATGGCTGATGCTGGGGACGAGTAGATTGGCTGCGACAGAGGTTCGCCGTGCTCAAACTGCGTTGTGGCAAAAATCAACTGCACCCACAGCGCAGTTGCATCCAACACATCGACGCCCAAGCAAAGAGTGCTGATTTCAGCTCAGTAGTAAGTAGTTCGTATGGATCCAAGCACAAGACTGGTGTTTGCTTGTCACTTGGCCGGTCTTCCAGGTTTTCACAGATGTTGGCAACGGCATAGCTGCACGTAGGCTTGGACGCGCAGTTGCTGACAATCAATCTCCCATGAATATAGCGAGAAGAAGATTGATGATATTGCCAAAGGCATTGACGGTATCAAGTTAATACTAAAAAATCTCGATTCATCACAGATTCCGAAACCAGCCCCGAATGCTTTCACCAGCAGTGATGCTGAAGCGTCGGCCCCGCCCTTAATCACAGAAGACACCATTGCCACCAGTGTGTCCTCATTCGACCACTCAGCCCATATGATTGACCTTCTGAAGTCTGTTTTAGAAGACGGGACAGTCACTTCGGATGGGTCAAGCCCGGAGACATCTGAAGTCGTCTCATCCTTGACTGATCTCACACGTACGCTGGAGGATCCGTCGCCCGGTGGAAACCACCGTTCACGTGATAAAAATGTTCTCAAAGGAGGGCGCATTGAAGATCCTCAGATGCCTCCTGTCAAAGATGTCCTCGAGATTTTGCGTTGGGTCAGAGGTAAGGTCTTCATCCGCTATTCGCATGATATTCTCCTCACATCTAAGCAGCGCGTGAGCATTTCTTCCGCATCGCTCGAATATCACGAGTGCTTCCCATAGAGTACTTCGAAGAAGTATGCAGAAAGATGTATTTTGCGATTGACGACTATACTGAGATCGACTTCGTCTTGGCCAACGGCTATCTTACCTACATATTTGCCGAGCATCTTATCACTACCGGACTCAACGACTACAGGGAGCACTGGCTCATGTGCCGCAAGAACCTCCATGACGCGGTCGCAAGACTCACACTCTTGCTACCAGCATCTATGGATGCGGTTGCTGCATTGACACTAGCAGTAGGTTCTGATCATACAAGTATTAAATAAACGACTAACTATGACAGGCCTATGACGCTATGGAAAATGCCAAAGCAACTGTAGCTTGGTCTCTCATCTCATCCGCCGCAAGTCTGTGCCAGACGCTGGGATACCATCGGCCTATCCCACGAAGGAGAGCTCGTGACGGGTCATTTGCGTCGACTAACACTCAAGAGAGTCTCTTCTGGTCCGTTTACTCGCTCGACAAGGGGCTGTCTTTGCAGCTCAATCGGCCCCCCAACATTCGTGATGTCGATATACAATTCTCATTTGACCCAGAAAGCCAGCCGAGAAGTATCAGATTGGCCAGGATTCAAGGCAAGGCCTATGAACAACTTTACAGCCCACAGGGCTTGTCGCGGCCTGTACTCGAGAGGGGGCACGACGCCGAGGTGCTCGCCACACAACTGCGGGAGATGATACGAGACGTCCATGTGGATATGGAGGTTAGTTGGCGTAAACCATGCAACGAAGAATGAATGTTGCTAATCTTTCGTTCCAGAATGCCAACAACCGCGACCCGGATGAGAATGAAGACCCTTTGCGTGTTTTGTATTTGCAGTGCCATCTGGTCTGTCATACATCGCTCCTCACGCTGATCCTCAGAGCGATACCCTCGGTTGGAAGTTCTCCAAGCGGCGCCTCCGATGAATGCGTCGCAGTCGCTCGCCTAGCTCTCGAGATCCACCATCAGTGCATGACGAGCATCCGTAACTGCAAGAGTGATCCCCAAATTGTCAATAAGTACATTAGCTGGTATGTACTTCAATGTTCTTGACATCTCTCTCCACTTTTGCCTCTGGCTGTTTTAGCCGGCTTTTCAGATCTGGCGGCACAATTAGTTAAAGAAAGCAGAACCTGATTCTTGTGCTGACTTGACAGGGCTATTCTGAACATGCCATTCGTGTCATTCAGTGTCCTGTTTCTCCATGCGGTGCGGACCGCCGATGACGCAGATCTTGCCGTTCTTGATCGGTTTGCTAGGTCGCTCCAGCCGAAGGATCAAGCTTCTGATTGCTCAACCCATCCACACCGGATCTACGAACTCCTCTGCAGGGCTGCACGCCTTCATATTGAGTCAAAGACGGGCGGGTTGGATGGTAGCATGAACCAACATTCACTTGAGTCTCTGCTTGATATCGACGTTCCCGACGCTCGCAGTCTTGAGACCATACGGCATGGAAATTTGAGTTTTGATACGGACGGGTTTGGGTTGGGCAATTGGTACCGTGAACAGCAGCACTTTTTGGGTCTACTCAACGAGGACGCATTCCAATGACGTGGGAACTGATGGATTCCAGCATTTGACATGGAGCAGAAAGGCGCGCAATCTTCCGCAGGCCATATACGGAGTCACCACGAACCCAA